TACAATACTACTACAATACTACTACAATACTACTACTACTACTACTACTACTACTACTACTACTACTACTACTTCGTATTCTTCTGCTTCTGTTCTTGCTCCTGCTCCTACTGCTCATTGCTCCTGCTGCTGTGACGACAGCAGCACCACCACCACACCAGCCGGCACCGGCACCGGCACCGGCAACGGCACCGGCACCGGCACCGGCACCGGCACCGGCACCGGCACCGCCAACAGCACCACCACAACAGCTCACCAATATTTTTCTCACATCCCAAGGCGAGGGGTGGGGGGTGGGGTGGGGGGGGCGGGGGTTATATGGTACAAAGGTGTGGTTCTCAATCAAAACCTCTCGAAACACCGTTATGAACAACAAAATCTCACTTGGACGTTCACTGTATGCTCATGGCAGGGCGTCCTGGGGCTTCTGCTTTCTGGATTACCACCTTGCTCCCTCTGACAGAACCAAACTCCAAAAATACCCCGAATTGTCTTAAACACCTGAAGAGCCAAACTCGGCCCGGACTCGCCGATGTAGGTACTTCCCAAATCATCCGTGCCACAGATTCCTCCGGGGCAGACAAGCAGAATCCGTGCATAAGGGATGTGCTGGTGACACTTAGGTTGGCATGCTCTTTGTGCACCCACACACCTTGAGCCGCATCGACCTCATCGTGTGCCCGAAGGTTGACACTCCTCGGTGGGCAAGGGAACGATCAGAAACCTGGCAGGACAGATTCCTCTGCTAGGCTGAAAGAGAACTAGAAAAACTTCCTGCATCATACCCAGAAGCATGATGTATCCAGGCTTCCCACTGATGGTCTTCAAAGTGACGAGCGCATAATTGCATTCATTACCTGGCAACATTTTCCCACAGCTGCTCTCAAAGCTAGAACTGGAGCAGCAAAACCTCCACAAACACGGTCTGCGGCTTGGAGAAATCCCTGACCTGTCTGGACACTGACGCCAGTCTTCCACTGGGCCGAGGTCACAGGGCCGGGCGGCACGGACACGTAGGAGACCGCGGTACCTGAACAGGTGCCACCATCACTGCAGACAGAAGCTCACGCTCTAGTTTTGACTACGATGCCAGGTGTTTGGAACCTACCGTCAACCGAAACCTTCAAAACTTCAAAACCCAAACACTAAGAAGAGTAAATGTTCATTCCGTGCACCTGGGGCCACGTCGATGCCGTTCTGCTGCACGTAGATGCCGGTACTGTCCATGAAGACCCTGACCGTCGTACCCGATGCTTCTTCAGTCCAACTGAAGGCGAGGCCAATGGTCACCGTGTTTCGCGATGACTTGTACTGGCAATGAAACGCTTGCCTCAACTCTCTCGCAAAAAAAAACCCTGATAAAAACTAGCTCGCCTACAGTGGCCTACAGCTTGTTTAAAGAAGTAACCAATAGCAAGGCGCGCTTTGAAGCCCCCACAGTCAGTGTTGTCCACCACGCTATGAAGGCCCGGGCCTTGATAGTCGAAGCGGTTGCGAGGGCCCCAAGTTGCCGTGTAGTGCGGATCACCCCAATAGTTGCAACGCTTGAACTCTCCCACATCATTCCTTAGCAGGCTGTTGAGGGATGTGCGTTTTTTTCATATTATCGGGCAGTCCCAGCAGTTAAAGACTTGCAACGAGGCACAGGTCCTTGTTGGCGCAGAGACCGCAATTCGCTGCTTTCCCCGCTGCTTTCAAGAACGTCCCGTGGGCTTGAGAGATCAGGGCCACCACGACCGCGAGCAGGTATTTCATGGCCTGCATTGGGGTGTAAAGGACCACACTCACACCCCTCCCCCTCCGAGGAGACGGAGCCCGACCTGCGTCTGCGTCTTTTCGCGAGAGAGGTTGAGAATCGAGGCTGATCGGCTGAGGCTGCGAGCAAAGAAGGTGGGCTGGAGCGGCCTGAAGCGAATCCCCACAGCTACCGAGTTGAAAAGCCAAGCTACCGAACGTCAGAACATGCCACAACTTCTACATCTACATTCCGCAAACTGGAAACTTCGACAGAATATACCCTGACCGGAAGGCCCTGCCCGCAAGCCCTCTGCCCCCAGCATTCCGTCAAAATTCCGTCCTTGTACCCACACTTGCCGGACCTGAGCCAACAACTACTGTTGAAGGCTGCAGTGAGCGCGGATAACCGCCTATGCGGGTTTGCTTGGCAAAGGAGAACATGGCAATGTGGACACATTCACGCAGCGGAAGGGAGCACCCCCCGGGCCGGCTGTTAACCCACGGTGCAACACGTCCAGACATCAGGTTCCTTCTGCTGCCTGCATTGAGTTCAGGGGTCCCTGGCAGTCCTCGATGCTGGAACTATCCAAGACCGAGAATACTGGGGCAAGACGGCATCCTAAATCTTGAGACTTTATCCATGAAGCTTGTACTCCGAAATGGCCTCTGAATCCCAAAGCATGGCAGCCCGACGCGTTCACGGGAGATCCTTGCTGGACCTGCCAGGCTCAGGCAAGGCAAAGTGCAGTTTAACCTGGAGGGAATGTGGGGCTTAGGTCATATAGGGTTTAGGATATATAGTTAGGCAAAGAGCCTTTGGATTATGGGCGAGGAGTTTCGGGAAGCCGTTGACCGGCAATACGTTTTCTCTGAATCTTCTTGCACCTGGGACCCAAGCTTCAAGTCGACACTCTGGAGCCACTTCGAGCAAAGAAAACCACGGTGCCAAGTAAACAACGAGGATACTCCCGGTGAGAGGCACATGATCACTGTTTACCACCTGCTCATCACAACCCGCATATCCGTGGCACTATCATCACGATCATCATGACCGCCATCACAGCACGATCAGCATCGTCACCACCAGCAGCATCATCACCACCAGCATCATCATCATCAGCATGAGATGACGGGAGTGATGAAAAGTGTCGCCAAAATGCATGGCAGTCATGGCAATTCTTCATGACAACGAAGTGCCATTGGCTGCAAAATCTCCCAAAGCCCTCGGGCCTTTTCAAAGTGCTCTGCCATGGACTCACCGCCCCGGCAGTTCCGTGTTGTCCATGCCTAGGCTTCAGAGCCGCAGCCGGAAACTGCACACGCCTACACCCTACAGTACCTAAACCCTAAACCCTAAACACACCCTACAGTACCCTTTTTGGCCCCAAAGAACATCAGAACACCCGGCATGAAAAAGGGGGGCTCACCGAGGCCCCGGCAACTCCGGCTTTGGAGGGGAACTCGCCCTGAGACGTGTAAGCCTCAGACGCAGGCAAGGGAACCACCGATCATAATAATAATAATGATAGTAAACATAATGAGTAATAATAATAATAATAATAATAAGCAGAATAGTAATAATAACAACGTATAACTATATACATCCTGGCTACGAGAAGGCGACGCGGTCTCTGCGGACTCGCGCCAGTCTTACATTGAAAAGCAGTTGCTTGAAATCATCACCCGACGCAACTCTGCAAGCTGAACTTCAGAGCTGGCTGGGCCGGAGGAGGCCTGGCTTTCCCGAGCACACGTATCGAACGGGGATTCCGGATAGGTTTCGGGTCACATTTAGGGTTTGTGTAAGGTGCAACAGTCGGGGTCTAAAGGGCCTGCCGTCACATTAAAGGATTTATCCGGCTTGATGCACTCTTCAAGGCTTGTACGGTTTACTGCCACCTGGAGGGTTTAGAAGGCTGAATCACATTCATAAGGTTTAGTGTTGCATTTAGGGTGGCAATATGATTGGGGACGAAATTTAAAATGTCTGAAGAACTGGTTTCACATTTAGGGTTAGTAAGGTTTGGTATGACATTTAGATGCATTGAGGGCTTCTACAGTCAAGTGTCACATGTAGGAGTTTGCATTGCTTAGTCTCGCATTGTAGGGCTGATACGGTTTGGTGGCACATTTGGGGTTCATATGAGTTCATGTTACCTTTAGGCGTTCAGGTGTGGTGATTTTAGGGTGTCATGGTGAGAATCCATAATGTATGTGTGTGCGCGCAAGGCTTCCTGCATCAACATCGTGCTGTCAAGCTTACGTTTAGTGTCACATGCAGGGCTGTACCCTGTTTAGCGTTTTGGCCCTGAGGTTTCCGGGTGGCTCAGGCTTTAGGCAGATATAGGTTCCGGGATGGAGGGCTTGAGATGAGACCTGGAACTGGAAATCCCACAACCACAAGCAACTGTTATCTTGGCTTCAGGTTTCAGCATTAGGCTGGTATAGTATTAGTTCAAAGCCTCGGCACGAAAGCACGCAAGAAGCGGCACGGGTTTCAGGGCATCTTCAGCCTTTCGAAGGGCTGGGACCCCGCCGCGACGGAGCGAAACCGACTTCGGCTCCCTGGGACTCCGAGGATCCGGCTTGCTGACTCTGCAGCTGCTTCCGCAACGAGCCGAAGTCCTGTTCGCGGCGCTTCGGCTTCAACGGAAGTTGGGGAGCCCTGTCGTGGGCTGCGTGTGCGGCAGTAGGGTTGGCGATTCATGTCAGTGTCTAGGTCGCAAAGCTGCAGTCGCCTGAAAACTGGTACATGGGCATCGTAACAATACCTGAAACCTGCGACCAGTGCCCAGCGTCTACGACTGTAGGTTGCAGGCTCTTCGGTCGAGTCGAAACTCTCCGAACGATACCAGATCGAATCGAAGGCTCCGTTTCCCGTCAGCAAGCATCTGCCATCCCTGCAAAACCTTCAGATTGCACAGCCGACATCATGGCCATAGTATGGACGGGTGAAGAGGCCTCTGCTGCTGAGAGCAGGATCTTTTGCACGCCTTCCGACAAAGTCTCGTCCTGCAAGACTTGCACTGTGCTGCCATGGTGCGCTGCATGTTCCGAAAGCTCCCCACCTTTTAACCTAAGACTACAAAACTTGAAACGAGAGCCTCAAGCCCAGAGCCGGAGAACACTCTTGTCTAAGTAGAAAATGCTTTCATATACTAAGTCAGCTACTACACCATCCTGTAGCCTGCTTCAATATACGATCATACTCTACAAGATACCATACTGCACCAAGATACTACATCAGGCTCTAAAGTTGCTGTAAATGCTAACTATAGTACACTGCTCAGAAGTCCCACAAGGACACTTCTGGATCGACTCTGGGGCCCGGGCACTCTCAAACTCGCAAAGCCTCGCTGGTATGGTTCGCCAAAGCTTCGTCCAGATCTCAAAGCCCGCTCTTGCGAAGTTCGTGCATTATTTATAGCGCAGTCAATTACGGAAAACATCGTAGATTTTGTTGGCATTTTGGTATTTTGCAGTACAGTACAGTATACTTACCGTCTCTTGTCGTCTTTTGCTTCTAGTCTTGGTCTGTTCTAGTATCTTGCAGTCCCAACCCGCGGGGAACCCGGAAGTTCACATGTCGAACCCCCGAGCCTCATACCTCCGAAATCGAAACGCACCGGCCCGTCTACGAGTCGCTCGTGCAGATAGCTTGCTGTTGTATGAAGACTACACCATCCAACGAGGCAAAGGCAAAGGGTGTACTCCAGAAGCTCATTGCAGCCGAGGAAGCAAGTAAATTTCGTCGATAGATCGTCGGAGGCGCAGAAGACTTTGGGCCTGCACCAGGGCTTTAGGGTGTTCAGCCTCTCGGGCATCGGACTTTAACGCTTTGCAAGAACCTGGATTGGGGTCTAGGATAGTTTCCGATTTTGGGCGCGAGTTGCAGCCGATCGTGCTTCCCTGTCGTGCTTAGACAATAACTTCGAAGGCTTGACTTCAGGAATACCTGCAGCTTCAACCCCAAAGCATACGAAGTCTCCCCATAGGCAGCTGATCCGTCAAGAGCCACCCCAAGCTCAGCGAAGCCTGTACTGTACCCGTGCAAATGGCGCGGAGGCGACCAGACACCATAACCTGAGCCCCTGAACCCCTGAAGCTCCTCTCCCCTGCAACCCCAAAAACGAGTCCCGAAACCTCTCAGCCCCTTCAAGCCCCCGCGCCTGAAGGCATAAAGCCTGTGAGACCCCCCTAAAAAAGACACCTGAACCCCCCGAACCCCAAAAACCCGTAAGACCTAGAAACCCTCTTGAACTGCCTGAACCCCAAAGCCCCTGAATGCAAAAGACGATGATCGCATTTTTATCGTATCTCATGGTATCTGATACTGGCTGTATCTTATAGTATGTCTTATAGTATTATAGTATATTAGATCGTATATTAGATGGGCTAGGCCTCAAGGAAGCCCTCCCGCCGGAGGACCGTCCAAAGGTCCGGAAGCCCAGGCTGCGAGCCTGGCGGGAGCCAAGAGTAAGAAAAAGTTACCAGGTCCCGAACCCCAAATACTATACGGTAAGAAGCTGAGACACATGAATCCATTATAATATGCTTGACTGGAGGGTGTTCAAGGTTCAGGGTTGAGGGTTTAGGGTGCAGGCGTGGCATCTTCGGGTCTATGCAGAGGTCGGATGTAATGTTCAGGCTTTCGGCGTGTAGAATTCAGGGTTGAGTGTTAGGAAGTAGAGTTTTCGGCTGGGGCTCGCTGACATGATGCGAGCGTTTTGGGCACTTTGGGTGGCAGGGTGAAGGGCGTCAGAGTGAAGCTTGATATAGAGAAACCTTGAAACCTCCGGACAGCAACCCACGTGTTCGCCATACCGACTGAGATTAGAGACGACGAACCGCTTAAACTCAATTAGACATCAAGTCAAAGCATGCCAACAAAGCGAAGTCGTGCCTCTTCTACTATTGCCGGATATCCCAGTAAGCAAGAGCCCGTCCACACGAGCCCAAACTTGCATCCCAAAACCAGCTCGAAAAGTCGCACAGCGTCGGACGGCGAGTATGGAGCAGTCCAGTCCGCTCCCGTGGTGGGGTGGGGTCGCAACCTCACGGGTACCTTGAGCGATGTGTTACATTGTGGTGCCTCATTTCCCGAGACCCCCAAGTCGTGTAGCCGACGAATCACTGCGTGCCTCGCTGGTCGTCGAAGTCGCCCTGCGGCCTTTCCTCAAAGTCGCCTAGGGTGCTGCTCCGGCCCTGCTTGGTGCGGATTTGCTTGCAGTAAGGATTCGATGAACCATCCAATACTATGCATTCTTTTGGGGGTTGGCTCTAATCTTGATAGTATCATCCGTCGTGACTGTTGGGGCGTAGGTCCGCTTCCAACTCTTGCTACACTTTGTGCGCTCTAGCATTGGGAAATTTCTGGTTGACTTCAATATTGAGCGGCTGTTCTTCCCAAACTGATTATGATTAAAGTCATGGTGTGACTCTGCAGTCAAGGCAGCTTGAGGCATTCAACACATGATAGGTTGCAAGAACAAACAACTGACATTGAACTTTAAGAACCCCTTCAACAACAAGAACTACAAAGAACCCTACAATGTCCCTAGCCCTTAGTGGCCTGTCGCCTTGCCCCCTCGCATTCTCCACCTTGGGCCTGAACCCAAACCGAGGACTCCAGGAGCTCCGTTCCCGTTCCCGAAACTTTCGGGGCCCCGGGCTGAGCTCCGGAACGAAGCCTAAGCTCAGCCCTGGTGGGGGCCCGAAGTAGCCTTCGAAGTCCCAGGGCCTTCCACGGGCTCTGAGGCGCGAGAGGGTTCAGGAAGTTCAGGGTGCAGGGTATAAGACTTCTAGCTTTAGGTAGTGAAGTTGCAGGGCAATTCATCAGTTTCGGGTTCGGCCTGGGAGGCCATTTTGACTGGGACTTCCCAGCCTCCAAGGGATCAAAGCCCCTCCCTGACACTTCCCGAAGGCAAAGCCATGGCTTTGAGGACGCTTCCTTTGCCTCGGACTGAACCAGTTTGAGGCCTTTGATGGTTTGAGGTGCACAAGCTTGGAGACTGAATCCACCTGCATACACACACGCAGCAAGCCAGACAGACGGCATACAGACATACAGGCTTATAGAAGCATGTGCGTGCCGACATATGCATGTACTTCGGCATGCACATACGTACATACGTACGGATGTACACATATAACATGCAGACACACACATATATATATACACACACGCACACTCGCACAGGTACATACACACTCATACATAATCATGCACGCATGCATGCATACATACGTACATGCATACATACCTTATACCTTCGCACACATCTGCATGCATCCATACATCCACGCAGATATACGCAGATATACGCAGATAATTCTGACGTATTGCTATACACAGAGAAGCTATGGGCGTGCCGTACGTGCCGCTCCGAGCCCTCTTCGCCTTTCCAGGCCCGGCGGCGGCAGAGGCAGCCCAGGGGCGCCAGCGAGGCCGAGGGCCTTCTGCTCGATGTACATTCATGTGCAAAGCTTTTGTTGGCTTGCGCACGTATGTGTGTGTAGTATATGTATACATTCATGTGGATGTACATTTATCTATCTAATTACTTGCTTAGTTACTTAGTTACCTAGCTAGCTAGTTAGCTAGATAGCTAGTTAGTCAATCAGCTAGTTGGCTAGAATTCATCCGTCCATCCATCCATCGATCTACCTATATAGCTGTTTGTCTATCTATCTATCTATCTATCTATCTATCTATCTATCTATCTATCTATGTATGTGTCAATATGTCTATCTATCTGCCTATCTTTCGATTTACTTATATATATATATATCAGTTAGACAGATAGGTATATAGACAATTAGATATTTAGTCTGTCTCCTGTCGTATCGTCGTATCAAGGATCGGATGGTCTGTGTATATACACGCATACGTGTGTGTGTGTGTGTACAAACGTGGATACATTTATGATGTGCCCCTGTAATTACACGTACGTACCCACCTAAGACACATACATACATGCATACCTGCAGACATGCACTGTGAATGCATGCATGCATGCATGCATGCATGCATACATCCTTGCATGCATAAGTGTCTGTGTGCATATGCTTGTTTGAATCTTGCTTATATCTGTGCATATCACAACCACATTGTGGCACGCATAGTATGTCTCTAGGTGCTGGACGCCGGCATCGACCTGACCGCAGTCGTTGCGGCCTTTGCCTCGAGCTCTTGGGGCTTTCGCGGATGGTTGTTGGCCCACTTCAGTGTAGGGCATTTCGGAGCTTGGACTGGAGCTCAGGGGTCAAGCTGTAGGTTTAGGGAAATTAGGGTCTCAGGCTTGGGCTTTGGGGGGTCTAGGGCTCAGTGTTTAGTGCAAGAAAATCATGCCATAAGCTTCCGCTTCATGCATCGTGATGTACCAGTTCGGAACTCAAGAGTTCGCACAATACCCTGTTCTGTGACCGAATCGACTTGTAAACTCAGTAGCACGCTCCATCGGCGCGTCAACGTCGAAGAGGACGACGAGGCCTTGGCAGTAGCGCAGTACCGCACCGTGCAAAATTCGGGAGATTCGAAATTCAGGCACAGCCTGCTATCACTTTAAGCGTGAGAAGGAGGATTGGTTGGATTTTGGGTCCTTTGTATGCTCCAGGTTCGGTGTCGTGCTTCAGGTTCGGTGTGCCAGGCAGGCCATGGAAACGTAAACTGCAAGGCGGCGCTTCGCAAACGGACCCACGCAGACCCGAACATGCGGATGTTCCTGAATTCAGCGAGTGCAACGACGGACGGGCGAGTGCCCTCGTAACGGAGATCGAACTCAACGCGACGATATATCCGACTGTCACTCTTTCGTGATCCAAGAGCCGCCCGGGTACATGAATTCATGTAGAAACGCGAGAAGCCACACCGTTTTTAGCTCCCCAGAATATGCCAAGCCACCGCATGCTCCAACACGATGACACGCGTCGTCGTTAGTAACTTCTTATCGGCCGTGGCGATGCCGGGGTGAAACAACCAAACACCACCTCTCAGGTGCCAGCCGCTGACTCTTTTCGCCGTGAGGTTGGCATCTGACCAGGTGCCATCCAACCAATGAAGCTTTGAGGGGGCATCCATAGGCCGAAGCATGTGGTGTAGGTGCAATGCGGTATACAGGATTCTGGGAACTTGAGAAAGCCTCGACGCAACTTTCGTCTCACTCGGAAGCAGGCTAGACTAAGGTGGCGTGAAGCTTCTGATGTCGTTCATGTTCAAGAAAACGGATGACAGGTTACTAGCAGAAACATAGCACGTTGTTTCTCTGAAGATTGTTATTGAAAAGTAAAGGCCGAAAACTCGCGTGCGCCTGACAATCCTAGGATCAGACGATGTGAGGCCGAGCATTACACGGCCCCGAGCTAGGATAACCCTGCACGTCTCTCCTGGCCCCTCCCTCCAGAACACTCAAGGATGTGCACAAGAGCAGACGCACTGCCCGCACCTTCATGACCATCGCAGCAGCAGGCGGCAGCAGCGGATGCCGGCCGAGTGCTACATGAACTGCTGTGTTGACCAACTACTTGCTCCGAGGGCTTGTTGTCTGGTGCATACATTCAGGCATAGCCGCCCGTCTCGAGACAGCTTGCTTGGTGGAGATTAGTGGGACTAGGGCTGCAAAGCAAATGACAGAGTTCGCCGATCACGCTTTAAGATCCTGTACGTGCAGCATAGTCTGGGAAGCTCTACACAACCTCACAGCCAGCTTGAGACCATCACATGAAAGCACACCGCTGCAAACTCCTCACCACATCATGGGCATGCCTCAGACGGTATTGGCTTGCAGATGTCTGCCCCAGCATGGGCCGAGCAATGTCCACTTACCAGCCTACTTCCGGGTAAACTTTGCGCTCATGCAAGGATACAAGGCCATCAAGGATTCCAAAATGAACGGGATTTGAACAGGTTGTGTCATGTGCAACCTACGTTAAAAACTTGACAGGGAGCCTGAACGGAGGCAAGAAAAATCTATCACCAAATCAAAGTGCAAGATCAACCATTTTCGCGGTTTGACTCAGCACGAAAGCCACAAGTTCGCTCCGTGGGCCGGTCTTTAAAAGGAAAGCTGTCCACGAACGAAAGGTGCTCGACCGTCCCAGCAGGTTGTTGTTTGAAGTCTGCTATGTAAGCCGAAGCTTCCAATACACCTCAAGGAACAAGCCGTTGAGTCCTCAGCCCTGAAGCTTGCCTTTGTGTGGTTTGGATTGCAGGCACCATTGACGAACACCGCGCTGCAAGATTCATCACTCGACCTCTGTCTCCGTATCATGCCTCGACGCGGCGTTCTGAATAACCGCAACATCGCAATCTCCTCCGCAACATGCATAGCTCGGAGCTAGACTCACCTGAATGCATCTGCCAAAACGGCAGTTCTCAGCTGTGGATGGTCGGCAGCGGCACAAGGGCACAGAGAAGAAAATCCCTGAACAGGGAGCCTGTAGCTCTCTCGAAGGTCTGATTGCCGTCTCGAACATCTGACCAGCCAGCACTCGCCGCAATCCGGCCAGGTTCCCCTACGGGCTACTTGTGACGGCCAGGGGTCTGAAAAATGAGAGACTTTCTTTTTGTTGGGCAGCGGACAAGTTGAAGCCCAGAGGCATAGCTTTACTTGGCTCCATGATCATGAACGGCCGTGTCTCACTTAAACTTAAACGCTGTGTTACAAGCCTTGGGGCTCAGCTTTATAGGTAAGAGGCTGTCAGCGCAGTCAAGACTTGCAATCAGCTGTCTCTGCGGTGCGGAATCAGAAGATTTGATGCCCCTCATGCGCCCTCGGCCTGTGGCGGGTTTGGGTGTCTCGAGGGCGTCGGCATCTTGGCTCACGCCAAGGGGGGCCCAAGTCTGGGGTGCGGCACTCGAAGTTCTTGTGGACGCGGAAGTACACTTGCCGCTTTCAGAACATTGGCTCACCGTCTACACAGGATATGTCTTAGCTTGCCCCTTACATCGAAAACGTCTCACTGTGACACTCCCGGCCTTCTCGACGGCTCGTGGCGCCCAAGTAGATTGACTGGGATCGAACTCTGGTGCGTCAGCGCAAAGCCTGGCTTTGCCGGATCTGCATGGCAGACGGACAGACGGGTTGCATCGGATCCTCAAGTCTGGTTAATCTAGGCTTTCGGCGCTCTCATCTCTGCCAGCGCTGTAGGCCCGGCATGTACCTTACCTTCTAACCTGCGGTAGAACCGTAAACCCAATCTGAACTGTTGCTTGGGGGGACTCACCTGCTAACCTCAAGCCGTGTACCCGTGCAGCTCGGCCTGTGTGTTGCTACTGCCACATACTCATTCTTCCCAATAGCTCCACTCCAAGCCAGCTGTCCCGGCTGGAATTCCTCAAGAATCAGGGGCTCAGGATTGAGCACAACACGTCCAGTTGGGACTCGACAGTTTGGTAGGACTCCGTCAAGCGGGTATGAGAAATCTTTGTACCGAGAAGCTTCGAGGGTTCACCGCTCTGAGTTTCCTGTTAGCTTGGAGCTCTATGGAACCAGTGCGGCTTCTAGGACAGCTTGCAGACGCGAAGCTCATGGTCATCAGACTTCGGAATTCTTACAAGTTCTTAGGTGGGGTTGATGTGAACACCTGCGTGGAATCTGCTCATGGACAGGCAGGCGTTTCCGCTTGCAAAACCCAACCAACGAACCTGCGACGATATCTAGGTTTAGGACCGAAGTGCCGATATCAGGGTCAAAGTTCTCATCCTGAGGGAGACCCTTGCCGTTCGAGCCGGAGTTGAATCGATCATAATCGATCTGTGAAGCCACGGAACCGAGAACCAACATCATACCACAGTTCCATACCAAGTGGCAGCTGCACACACGCGGAGAGAGTCTCCGGAAGCCGGAGGCTTCTCCTGAGGAGACATGGTCGCTTGGGAAGCTTTCTTGAGCAGGCTTTGGTCTCAGTCTAAGGTCCAGAGGTTACTATGCAGTTTTGGGGCTTATGGACTCTTAAGCCCTGATGATGAGTGAACCGCCGAGGCAAGGCCTCAATGCGCAGAGATCAACATCAGGTTGGCAGAAGCCAGTGCTGTCCGGGGCATCTACAGCCGTGCTCCTTATACCTGCTCAGCAGCAACCCCGAGTTTCCGAATTCAACATCTCCAGCTTTCGATTTTCGGGCCTGCAAGGGAAGGAGGGACAACTGACTAGTGGGACGACTCAAATGTTGCGCCTGGATCCAAGGCAGCTTCTCTGCGTTTGCAGCTGCCAGCGTGCCCTGGCACAGGCCGGGCCCCTCGCTTCCGGAGGCATATTTAAGCCATCTATCTACAGGCCCAGAGCTAAACTATTCCGAGTATAAAAGGGAGGGAGCTCCGGACTGAGTGCAGTGATGAGTCCTGATGAGAGCATGTCTGCTTCGATTTCCGCGCACTTGAGGTTATAAATTATAAGACTGAGGTGAGAGGAACAGACATACCCCCAAACCCTAAAGAGCAGCAATGGTCACAGGCTGGTGAGATCCAGCACAACACCCCAAAGTCCAAGCACCTTCAACTTCCAGCTCGCACCTTGACGTCGTGGTACGCGTCCTCGTCGAAGTTTCGCAGCAGCTTGTGGAGGTAGCCTCTCGAACCATGAGGCGGAGCTCGCAGCATGCATGCACGTGCCTTTAAACATACTGATGAACACACATACACACCTGTTGAACCTATTGATGCATATGTATATGTATGTGTGTAGGTATAAACCTATGTGTGTGTATATATATATATAGAGATGCGTATCTACACAGATTTATGCATATACCGACATATGCACACACATTCACACAGTACCTTCACACAGGGCCTACGCATATTTATGTGTACACGTGCATGTACCTGTAGACCGGAAGATGTATGTGTATATGCCTGTGTGTATGTGTATGTACACATACACATATATGTGCAAGTATGTGAACATGTAATATATATATATATATACATATATTATATACGTGTACACATGCAAAGGCGTGCATGTGTATGTAGTGGGTATGTATGTATGTATGCATGCATGCATGCATGCATGCATGCATGTACGTATGTATGTGTATGTGTGTATATATATATATATGTACACATATTTATAAACATAGATAAACACATGCGTACATACATACGTACAGACCTACATACATACAGACACACAGACATGCAGACAGACAGACAGACAGACAGACAGACAGACAGACAGACAGACAGACAGACGGACAGAGATAGACGGACAGACAGACAAACAGACAGACAGACAGACAGAGAGACGGACAGAGATACAGATACAGATACGGATGCAGATGCAGATGCAGATACAAATACAGATACATATACGTATACATATATATATATATATAGATATGTATAGGAATATGGGTGTGTACATATGTGTATATACATGTGCGTGCGTGCGTGTGCATATACCTATATACATCTGCATTTATTTATTTATATCTAACTATGCCTATGAGCATATCTAGATGCGTCTATCTATCTACCTATATATCTATCTATCTGTCTATCTATCTACCTACCTACTTATCTAGCTATCTATCTATCCATCTATCTATCTTTATTATGTACGTATGTACCTCGAAAATTTATTGTAGATACGTATATAATTCTGTGTAAACAACATACAAAATAACATCTACGAACATGCTTGTGTTGTAGGCCCTCCCTCCCGGGGTGAGCACAGCCTCTCCAGTGCGTGACCTTATCTCGTGGAAGGACCTCCACCACTTTCTTGACATGGGAGCAGGCCTAAGCGAGCATGAGCGTCCGACAGTTTCTTGAGCATATTGGCGCACAGGCTCGCGCGGCAGAAGCCTGACAAGCATCTACACCGAGATATGCAATGCATGTGGCACGTGGATCAGAATACCCGGTCACAAGTCGACAAACCCCAAAAGCCCGAAGCCGAAGCCCGACACGCCCCGGCGTCTGCACAGGAATCTCCTTTGGTTTTCAGGCCCTGGCATCTTGCAGCCTGTTCCGCTCCCAGAGCGCGTCCAACAGGAGAAGGATCTTATGGTCAAAGTCGTTGCGGCAAAGGACCTGCCATGCACAGGCCATCTGCTGACCTTGGGGTTTGGGTTTCACTTACTAAGACTGGCCCAAAACGCTAGACGTGCCTCAACCCCAAACCCTAAGCAAATGTGAAGCTTCAAACCGAGGGAACCGAATTTTAATGATTGCTCCCTTCGGCGAGTCGCAGTGTTTTTGATGAGCTCGTCAATGATCTGCCGGTATGGCTTCCTGCAGACCACATAGCACAAGCACCAAGTCACATCTAACAGATACAAAGCAGCCAGAAGCGTGGGGCGTCGGAATGTGATGCGCGCAGTTTCGGCTGGAGCGAAAAGGCAGGCGAAATGCCCAGTCAAACATGCAGGCCGCACATCCCCGAGCAAAATTTTCCGACTTTGCAATTTCGGTTTCTCAATCACGCGGGAGTCCACCCCTATAGGACCCATTGTTCTGAAGCCCTCTTGACATGCCCACGCCAACAAGTCGAAGTTTGAACAGCGTCCTTGCCAGCTCGAGCGCAGGACCTGAGTTCGCCTCCTCGCAGGCAGGCAGATATAGAGTATCTTGAGCGGCCTTGTATGCACAAGTTTCATGGTAGGCAGTCCTGTCAGACATACCTAGGAACAGATGGCAAGCACGCTGACAACAGTCGCACCAAAGGCATCACCATCAGGGCCATGCTCGCACTGCACGGACTCTGATTCGGGCTGCGCTAGCCGTGGCTCTTGTGGTTTCCGTCCGGCTTCAGGAGGTGTTCCAACTTCCAACCAAGCTGAGCTCAGAGTTCGGGGCGACCTAAAAGCCAAAGGATCCAGGACAAATCCAATTAGGAGTTAAGTTGATTGGGAAGCCAGCCATGCCTCACAATATCTGCAGAAGGCCGAGCCCTCCCATGCGTCCCTGTCTGTTCCAATCGCCCACACGAGGAAGGGCGTTCCCGTCCTTGCCCTTCTCCCCATCCTCACTCCGGGGCCGGTCGGCCGGCTTGCCCTGTGCAAGAGGGGCTCGGCTTTAAACACTCCGCGAGGTGCTTCATAGGGATGCAGGCTTCGCACGAAATGAGTCTAAGCGAACAGGCAAGTGCTTCAAGTTTGGCGGTGGGGCCTCAGCTTCGGCTGCAAGACTACCGAGTTGAAGGAAGCAGTGGCTTTAGCAAGCTCCCTTTGGACCACGCAGACAAGTCCCACATGCCTCTTTATCCTTGTCCTGCTCCCGGTCCCATTTCCGATCGCGGTCGTATCGGTCTCGATAGTATCGAGGCGGACCCCACCAATCCTGAAAAGCAATCTGGCGAGTGTCAAAGGCACAGATCGATGCTTCGGAGTTCCACGCTCCACGACCGACAGTGACATCGAAATGCGACGCTTTTCAGTGCCGAGTCAACGCGACACCCCGCAAAGCACTGGGCTTCGTGCGTGGCCGTAGCCATGGTATGGCGAAGGCCCATACCTTTGCGAAGAGAAGCCTACTGCGATGCGCCAGCCGCGTTTGCACAGACAACAGAGAACAGTGCAAGGCATGTCTTGATGTCTGAAAGGCTTACAAAATTACAGATGTGTGCTGCTCTCATTTTGCTTGGAAAAAACTGCACCTGCTGAAGCCTTCTTGTCTGAGGTCGGCGCCACCACATCCTGGAAGGAGCGAATGCAAGTTGAGAGAAGATGTTTCCGGGGCTGGGAGAGAGCCTGAAAGCAAAAGCTGCAAGCCGGAGGGTCCCAAAGCCAGAAGCCTCCAGAGGAATGCTTGGGGCCTCTAGGTCTCAGGTGCTCCTGAAACATGGCCTTGGTTTGATACACGTGAAAAAATCCGGAAGCTGACAAACCGCAGAAGTAAGAGATAGATCACATGCCTTCAGACTTCAGACTTCAACATGCAGGCTCGCCGGAAGCTCGCCTCAATTTGGCATCGAACTACAAATCCGGCGTCACAGGGCCGCAGATGCAAGTTGCACACCCCAGTCTTCCCGCAGCCGAGCCTTAAAAGTGTGCCGTTCCTCAGTCCCCCCGGCGAACAGCGCGGTAGACTGGAGCCGAACAGCTGCGACAACGGCTTTCACTCGGGCCAGGGCGGAAGCTTCCGAGGATTGCTAGAAGCCACCACCACAATACCTACCGCCGAAACCGACCACCACCAACACCACCCCCATGTAAATGTCTCTCAAGAACAGAAACAGTAGTTAAACCAGCACGATCACTGTCATTTCTGCCTCTCCCAGCAGCCAAGAAGTCAGCGAATGATCCTACTTGACCCTTGCAGAGCTCCGCACCTCGTTGACAGATCCAAAGATGATCCCGAGCAGATGACTACAACGGTGACTAAGCTCCTGAAGCATGGTTACTCAAGCATCATTGGGCCGTTATACCCAAGAACTTGAAGCCTCGGAGTCCGAAACCCGTAACTTCCACCCCGGAACATCGAAGGATCAGCTCGGGTCTCAGCTGAATCTCTGAAGTGCTCCCCACTCCCCTCCCCCAGCTGCTGCTCTGGCTCACAAGGTGACAGTCTCATAGGTTTGAACTGCAGGACAACATATGTGAAATACCTCTGTGAGGGCTGCGCTCTCCCACTCCGGAAGCAACCAGGCCACATCCATGCCTCCCTTGCAAGAGTCTGCAGCAGCAAGCTCTGAATTATTCACAAAGTGACGCGCGTTGCGGCTGGTGCGATTTAGGTTGGGCCAATTCAGACCACGAGAAGTTTAAGCTGAGAAATGCTGAGCAATAAACAAGCTCGACATAGACAATTATGAGAGCACGAGCTTCTAAACTTGCCTTTCAAGCACACTCGGCACGCGTTAATCGCGATTTGCGACACTACAGACACTGCTGGGCAGTGTGTGTGATTGAGGCCAGCTGCTTGCCATGGACATCACTAGGACTGTGCTTCTGGGTGAAGTTCAAGCATCCCTGACCTCGTTATACCCACCAATGACTGGTCAAAGACCAACTGCGGGGATATAATTCGCAACTGGAAACAACCACTTTCTGGTCTTCTCGTCACCCCACAGCCCCTGAAAGGCCCCTTTCTAGTGGAGCGGCTCGCTGCTGCTCCGGCCTTGGGCTGGCCTCTTTGGGTGCGACCAGTCGTACTCTCAGGTCAGTGTCAGGGTGGTGTCGCAGACTGCGTACCTTGGGAAAAGACTCTTGAAGGCTCCAACTGAAGGCCTGGCAGCGCCGCTTAGCGCTGTGTGACCGCCTGGCCTGCAGGTTTTGCGAACACCTGAAACTTGTTGTGGCGAAGTTCAAGACGCCGGCAAAAGCCTCCCCTGATCTAGCGGAAACCTCCACCGACATGACTTCGGCAAGATCCGCGAGACTCTTCGTGCGCTTTCAACAGCTCCGGCTCCAAGAACAGATGAAGCAGTACCTCGCCCCCAACACGCCTCAATCCCTCGCCTCCGCAGATTTGCGGGTTTTGTTACCGTTTCAGTGGTCGCTGCGACCTCGCGGATTCTCTCGGCAAGCCAAGCGGCACCCCAGAAACTGCAGTCGAAGGTCCATCCTAGGTGGGCTTCAGGACCGGGAGTCGGGGTTGCTGGGCGCGGGTAGGAGACTCACAAGACCACATGTCAGACATGGTTCAGGCACTTGACAGGGGCGTGCAAGCATCAGGCCACGATCAGCCGGAGGCAAGGCGTTTGCTTGGGAAGGCCGAGGCTTCGGCGTGTCTGTAAACGGCCAAGGAATGGCCTCAGGGCACCGCTGGACTGCCGGAGGATTTGCTGGCGATCGGGGGGGAGAATCTGGGGGGCCATGGCCATAGGCACTTCAGCAATGTGCTTTGCGGAGTGTTTCATAGTCTATAGGACTGAAGAGCCGGATTTCGAGCAATGGAGCTACTGAGATCGATGCCAGCATCTGCTTGTGACTTGCGGAAGTCCTATCACAGGGTCGTGCCGAGGGTGGTTGGAGTGGCAGTCACTGCTGGCCTACGGGCGTTTTTGATGAAGGTTTAAGGTCTTCGCTGGGCACCAAAGGCAGTTGGATGACCAGCAAATTGGGACGAAATCTGCGCGCGGCCGAACGTGCGACCTTCGGCCACCCTGTCCCTTCCTGACTGCATCGCTACCAATGCCGTCCACCAAGTAGGTACATCTGCATGCCTATGGAAAGTTCCTGGAACGAAGGTCTCCAAGCTATCAACGCAAGCCCTCCAAACACACTGCAAGTGGCCTGGCGCAGTGCATCCAGGAGCTTCTGCGGCTCCACACGGGCATCGGGATCCGACAGCACTGCGCAGGGTGGTGTGGGCAGCAAGTACACAAACAACAGCAAGGCAACCGGTGCTGGACAGGGCCTGTGACAGATAGAGATACACAGACAGGACGTATGTCGCTCGCCTGAGGAGATCTTCTTGAGCATCGCACACCGAACATCTTGGATTACAGGCTCTCGCTTCAAAGGACCTCAAGGACCTAAGCAAAAGATTCAATGATTCGGGTCTCGAGTGAACGCCCGCAAGTGCACCCACCTTCTTCGGCACGCGCGCCAAAAAGATCCGTGGCCTCCGATAAAAACGAAAGCTCCAAACTTCGGGTTCAGCCCGAAAGGTGGGGCCCAAGAGTTGGGTAGAGCTTCGGGGCGGGCCTGGGCTTGGTCGGTAATGGCTTTTTGTCAACGCCATCCTTGGGGTCCTGCTCTTAGAGACTTTCTGAAAGTCCTACATGTCCTATATGAATGGGCTTCGTCGTGCAGGCCATACATTCCTAGGTTTGGGTAAGACAGCCTCGCCGGCCACGAAGACCTCGAAGAACGGGCTGTCGTCCTCGCGTTGTCATGAGACGTTCACATGCACCTTCGAGGCTACAACCTCGCCAAGTCCCAACTCTCAGAATCGTAGTCGACCCTGAATCAAAAAGAGGCGATCCCTGGACGACTGGTCAAGGGATGACGTGTTCAAGCCGACTTACAGAAGACAAGGGTGCAAAAGCGGCTCCTCCTGAAGGGCCAGCTTGAAGCGAAACTCGATCCTGCTGATTGAAAACCCCGGCGCTGCACAAAGTGTTGGGCGCATTGGGGCCTTCTGGGGCCCAGGATGCTGCATCTTAGATGTCAGATTTAGGCGAAAGCAATCACCTGTCATCTCCTTGGGATTGTTCGCTTGGCACGGCTCTGGTCGGGAGATCTTCGGTTTGTGAAGGCAGACAGAGGCAGAAAATACCCCACATCATTGGAGACTTGGGGATTTAAAGCCTGCAGAAGAGCAAGCAACCGTGAGAAGTATCGCCTGCAACTGTGTGGGGCTAAGCTCTGTTGTTGTTGTTGTTGTTGTTGTTGTTGTTGTGGTTGTGGTTGTGGTTGTGGTTGTGATCGTTGTTGCGGTTGTACTTGTCACACGGACTACATGCTTGCATGATAGGCTCGGTTCCTGAGGCCAACAGGAGCTCAGCATGCTTGCTGTTTCGACGGATGTGCTGGTGGTCGCAGTTGTGTATGTAGAAACTCTC